CTATTTCTGCTTTATTGACTATGCCAAAGCCTTTGACTGTGTGGATCACTGTAAACTGTGGACAATTCTGAAAGGGATGGGAATACCAGACCATCTGACCTGCCTCTTGAGAAACCTGTATGCAGGTCAGGAAGCAAGAGTTAGAACTGGACATGGATCAACAGACCAGTCCCAGATAGGAAAAGGAGTATGTCAAGACTGTATATTGTCACCCTGCTTATTTAACTTATATGCAGAGTACATCATGAGAAACGCTGGGCTGGAGGAAGCACAAGCTGGAATCAAGATTGCCAGAAGAAATATCAATAACCTCAGATATGCAGATGACACCACCCTTATGGCAGAAAGTGAAGAAGAACTAAAGAGCCTCTTGATGAAAGTGAAAGAGGAGAATGGAAAAGTTGGCTTAAAGCTCAACATTCAGACAGCTAAGATCATGGCATTCGGTCTCATCACTTCATGGCAAATAGATGGGAAAGAGTCAAAACAGTGGCTGAGTTTATTTTGGGGGGCTCCAAAATCACTGCAGATGGTGACTGCAGCCATGAAATTAAAAGACGCTTACTCCTTGGAAGGAAAGTTATGACCAATCTAGAGAGCATTTTAAAAAACAGAGACATTACTTTGTCAACAAAGGTCCATCTAGTCAAGGCTATGGTTTTCCAGTAGTCATGTATGGATGTGAGAGTTGGACTATAAAGAAAGCTGAGTGCCGAAGAATTGATGCTTTTGAACTGTGGTGTCGAAGAAGACTCTTGAGAGTCCCTTGGACTGCAAGGAGATCCAACCAGTCCATCCTAAAGGAGATCAGTCCTGGATGTTCACTGGAAGGGCTGATGCTGAAGCTGAAACTCCAATAATTTGGCCACCTGATGCGAAGAAGTGACTCACTAGAAAATACCCTGATGCTGGGAAAGATTGAAGGCAGGAGGAGAAGGGGACGACAGAGAATGAGATTGTTGAATGGCATCACCAACCCAATGGACATGAGTTTGGGTAGGCTCCGGGAGTTGGTGATGGACAGGGAGGCTTGGCGTGCTGCGGTTCATGTGGTCGCAAAGAGTCAGGTATGACTGAGCGACTGAACTGAAAAGAAAAAAAAAAAAAACCACCAACAGATTTTGTGAGGTTTTAAAATAATTTATGGAGAAATATAAAAAGTGTTATTACTAATTCACATTGACTGAAGATGCTTTTAGTCAATGAAGCTGTTTGGGAGTGAGGGGAGAAAGCATAGTGCATGCATGCTCAGTCATGTCCGACTCTTAGCAACCCCATGGACTGTAGCCCATGAGGCTCCTCTGTTCATGGAATCTTCCCGGCAAGAATACTGGAATGGATTGCCCTTTCCTCCTCCAGGGGACCTTTCCAACCCAGGGATCGAACCCACACCTCCTGTCTCTTGCATTGGCAGGTGGATTCTTTATCACTGAGCCACCAGAAAATCCCCAAAGGGGAAATATGTGACCCAAAAAAGTGTCATTTTGACATATGGACAATTTTGAGCTGAAGGAAATCAAGACCTGGCAGACTCAAGAAAAGTTTTTCATTTCTTTTACTACCTAAAAGAATTTATACAGGAGGCCTATCAGAAAGAAAGCTATTACCAGAGTTAGTTTTTTACCTGAAAGACCTATCTGTATGGCAAGGCAAGCATTTAATTACCAAACATCTACTCTTCTTATTGTCATGGAAATAATTCTTCTCCCCTTGGAAGTCCTAAGCCTCTCTCTGATTCCATAACTCAGGTTGGCACATCAGCCTCAACTGCCCAGCTTGCCCTTGGGTCTCATAATTTTGGGGCTCCCAGACTTATAAAATTAAATATTTTTCTTCTATTAATATGTCTTATCTCAATTTAGTAATGAGATCAGTCAAAGAACCTAGAAGGGTAAAATTGTTCTTCCCCAATAGGACTTTAAAAGAAAAAGAAGAAGAACACTGCATAGATTGTAAGGATGAACACAAACCTAAGAAATTTAAATTTAAATTTTTCCGTAGTGTGAAACAGCAAGTAGAATTTCCCCACCCTTTTCTTACCTTTCCTTCAGAACATCTGAAACCATAAAGGCTTTCTCTATCTCTTTGAGATGTATGTGAATCCTTTTAAAAGCTTAATGAGCCTCTTGCCAGTTGTACGTCCCCAGGAAGGTCTTTCATGGGGACCTGAGAGCCATTCCTTTGAAATGTGAACATTGGGGAGGATGATGCTCCGCTGCCCTGTACTTGTGGGAATTTAGCTGAGGTGCCAGGGTCCAAGTTGTAACTTCCTGCTTGTCAATAAGATAAATGAATTTTTCTTTTTCCTTGGGTAAAGACAGTTAACATATACATAATGGATTATGTCTGCCTGACTACATTAAAAGAGTATGATTTCTTTTTGTCTTCTTAATTTCTTTAGCATATTGCCTCTAATGCACATCACAGTCTGATTTAATGGTTTTACCACAAAGAAAAAACAAAACAACGTCTCATTCTTTTTACATTTAATGGAGAGGATTTACTGAGTTGGCAGGAGATTTTATTTTTAATTATATTTCCTCAGAATCAGATACACTCATTTTTTTAAATAGTTTTTGTTATAAACATACAGTGGAGGAGAAAGACTTAGCTGTGTAAAAACAAGAAGACTGAATAAAATAAAACAACCAGACTAAGGCACCGAACATGTTCTTTGTCTATTAAAAGTGAAGTAAATGACATGTATTTGTACTGGGACAAGGACAACGTCTATAGAACCAATGTCCCAACTGGGTGTTGGGAAGCAGAGCTTGAAAAGCTCAGAAAATTCAGAGCTTTTGGTTTTAGCTAAATCCACCTCTGTAGGTTAATAAAAGGAAACTCAACAGTTTCCACATCAAAGCAATCTATTTATTTCACTGACAACTAAAAAGGAATTAAACTACATGCTAATAAAAAAATATTTAATTGATGAAGATTGGGAGGAAATTCTCAAAAACTTAAAAAGGCAAAGGAAATACCCACATCAATTAATACATCAAAACCTCACTATAAAAATGGTCTAAAAAAAAATCATTCCGAAAAAGCTCACCTAACATGATCCTCTATTATCTATATTGTCAGTAATTATCACTTGATTACATTTTTACATCACCTAGTCTAGCACAAGAATAAAACTTATTGAAGATCAAAACAACATTCATATGCTTCTTCAATATCAAAAAACTGCCTGTATAATTAGAAACTGCGGGTTTATAAGCAAAGAGCTCTAATTAAACAACTAACCAAGAGAGCCTTAACAATACCCTCACTCTGACTAAATTTAAGACAGGCTTCTTCCTGACTCTGGGCCCTGGCCTCTCATAAAGTATTTGTTTAGAAAAATTGTAAGTTCTTCCTTTGCTCCTTTGCGATGTAGATTTTTTTAAAGGTCTCTTCAGTTCAGTGCAGTCAGTCAGTCATGTCTGACTCTTTGCAACCCCATGAACCACAACACCCAAGGCCTCCCTGTCCATCACCAACTCCGAGTTTACACAAACTTATGTCCATTGAGTCGGTGATGCCATCCAGCCAACTCATCCTCTGTCGTCCCCTTCTCCTCCTGCCCTCAATCTTTCCCAGCATCAGGGTCTTTTCAAAGGAGTCAGCTCTTTGCATCAGGTGGCCAAATTACTGGAGTTTCAGCTTCAACATCAGCCCTTCCAATGAACACCCAGGACTGATCTTTAGGATGGACTGGTTAGATCTCCTTGCAGTCCAAGGGAGTCTCAAGAGTCTTCTCCAACACCACAGTTCAAAAACATCAATTCTTCAGCACTTAGCTTTCTTTATAGTCCAACTCTCACATCCATACATGACTACTGGAAAACCATAGCCTTGACTAGATGGACTTTTGTTGACAAAGTAATGTCTCTGCTTTTTAATATGGTGTTTAGGTTGGTCATAACTTTCCTTCCAAGGAGTAAGTGTCTTTTAATTTCATGGCTGCAGTCACCATCTGCAGTGATTTTGAAGCTCCCCCAAAATAAAGTCTGTCACTGTTTCCATTGTTTCCCCATCTATTTGCCACGAAGTAATGGAACCGGATGCCATGATCTTAGTGTTCTGAGTGTTGAGCTTTAAGTTAACTTTTCCACTCTCCTCTTTCACTTTCATCAAGAAGCTCTTTAGTTCTTCTTCACTTTCTGCCATAAGGGTGGTGTCATCTGCATATCTTAGGCTATTGATACTTCTCAGCAATCTTGATTCTAGCTTGTGCTTCTTCCAGACCAGAGTTTCTCATGATGTGCTCTGCATAGAAGTTAAATAAGCAGGGTGACAGTATACAGCCTTGACGTACTCCTTTTCTTATTTGGAACCAGTCTGTTGTTCCATGTCCAGTTCTAACTGTTGCTTCCTGACCTACATACAGGTTTCTCAAGAGGCAGGTCAGATGGTCTGGTATTCCCATCTCTTTCAGAATTTTCCACAGTTTTTTGTGATTCACAGAGTCAAAGCTGCTTTATAACCCAGGAACACCTCTTTCAAGCACTTCAAAATGTAATCAGCAAGGATGACACTGACCCCATCTCCCATTCTCGAAGAGGGTAGAAGCCTAACTTCATTGATAGATGCCTATTAGAAAACACAGATGGGGGGGGGGCAGTTCTAAGATGGCAGAGGAATAGGGCAGGGAGACCACTTCCTCCCCCACAAATTCATCGAAAGAACATTTGAACACTGAGCAAATTCCACAAAAAAAAAAAATCTGAGTGCTGTCAGAGGACACCAGGCACCCAGAAAGGCAGCTCATTGTCATCAAAGGAAGGTAGAACAAAATATAAAAGATAAAAAGAGAGACAGAAGAGTTAGAGATGGAGACCCATCCCAGGAGGGAGTAGTAAAAGAAAACTTTCCAAACACCAGGAAATCCTCTCACTGGAGGGTCTGTGGGGAGTTTTAGAATCTCAGAGGGCAACATAACCAGGAGGAAAAATAAATAAATAAATTAAACCCACAGATTACCTGCCTCATGGCAACTCCAAGTGGAAGTAGCCCAGATGCTCGTGTGCGCCACCAGCAAGCAGTGGCTGAACAGGCAGGTGCGGGCTGCATTGCACAGGGTAAGAACCAAGCCTGAATGCCCTGAGGGCAATCTGAGGGAGGTAGTGAGATAGCAACCCAAACTGTTGGATAGCCAGAGATAGAGAGAAAAAAAGAGAGAGAGAGAGAAATTTCCCTTGAAAAGCCCTAACCTAAGGCACTGCCAGGACACTCATAGAACAAATGACTGAGCAAATACCAGAGGAGAGCTAGCTGGCGATGGACCGGACCATCCCCCACCAGAGGCAGGGAGGCAGGCAGGCAACAGCCAGAGCTAGAAAGGGGCAACCTCGGCCGCAGAGACGGCATCCTCTAACAAAGTGCGACAAGGCTCCCAGTTGCTAATCAAGTCTCCCTGGAATCCTGGACGGCTGACAACCGCCGGGAAGGTCACAGTCAGAGATCAGCTCTCCAGAGGAGACACAGGGCACACCTGAGACGGCGCTCCCACTGCACACCCAGGAAACCATGAGGCTGGACTGGGGAGGCGATAAGACACACCGCACCTGCGAAGTGTGCGCTCGCCAAGCCCCTGGTCGCCTGAGCTGCTTGGACCTGGGAAGGGCACAAAACGAAGGCCCAGCAGAGTCTGCGCCTTTATGGAGTACCTGAGAACCTAAACCTGAGCAGCTTAGACCTGGGAAGTGCGCAAAATCCAGGGCCTGCTTTAGACAGTTTCTCTGCAGAGCAACCTGGAGCCTGAGCAGTGTAGACCGGGAAAGCACACACACCGAAACCAGGGGTAAACCCAGTGTGGCCGAGACACTGCGAACACTCCTCACACACGCCAGTGATATTTGCTTGCAGTGTTCTTCCCTCCTCACAGCACGACTGAACAAGTGAGCCTAAATAGGAGACCACCTTCGACCCCCTTTTGTCAGGGAGGAAATTAGACACTGAAGAGACTTGCAAACAGAAGAAGCCAAAATAAACAGAGGAAACAGCTTTGGAAGTGAGACGTGCAACAGAGTAAAACCCTGTAGTTAGCACCAACTACATTGGAAGGGGGCTATAGATCTTGAGAAGTATAAGCTGGAACAAGGAACTATCTGAAACTGAACTGACACCACACTGCCTGCAAGAGCTCCAGATAAATTCCTAGATATATTTTTACTATTATCATTTTTCTTAATTTAATTTTTTTTATTTTTAAGTGCTGTATTACTCCTTTAATTTTCACTTTTATAACCTACTATTACCTTGCCAAAAAAAAAAAAAAGACCCTATTTTTAAAGCAAGCTTCATATATATGTTTCATAATTTTTGTGATTTTGTGTGTGTGTGTGTGGTATTTTTGAGAGTATAACCTCTACTCTAGATTTTTAATCTTTGTTTTTGGTATTTGTCATCAATTTTCTAACTTTAAGAATCCAATTTTAAGTATCCATTTTTACTTAGGAGTGTGATTACTGGCTTGATGCCCTCTCCCCCTTTTGACTCTCCTTTTTCTCCCAGGGTCACCTCTATCTAATCCCTCCCCCTTATTTCTCTACCCAATTCTGTGAATCTCTTTGGATATTCCAGACTGGAGAACACTTAGGAAACTGATTCCTGGTTAGATCTGTCTCTCTCCTTTTGACCCCTGCTCTTCTCCTCCTGGTCACTCTGTCTCCTTCCTCCTCTTATCTTCTCTATGCAACTCCATGAGCCTCTCAGGGTGTTCAAGGCTGTGGAGAGCACATACAGGTTTGATTACTGGCTAGACTGCTCTCACCCCTTTTGACTCCCCCTCTTCTCCTCCTGGTCACCTCTAACTCCCTCCTCCCTCTTCTCTTCTCCATGTAACTCAGAGAACCTTTCTGTGTGTCCCTCATTGTAGAGAATCTTTCCTCCATTAACCTAGATGTTTTATCATTGGTGCGCTGTGGATGGAGAAGTCTTCAGGCTACTGTAAGAATAAGACTAAAAACCAGAAGCAGGAGGCTTAAATCCAAAACTTGAGAACACCAGAGAACTCCTGACTCAGGGGAACATTAATTGATAAGAGCTCATCCAAAAGCCTCCATACCCACACTGAAATCAAGCTCCACCCAAGAGCCAGAGCAGTCATACCAGCAACGCAGGAACATAGCCCTGAACTTTAATATACAGGCTTCCCAAAGTCACACCAAACCTACAGACATCTCAAAACTCACTACTGGACACATCATTGCATTCCAGAGAGAAGAAATCCAGCTCCACCCACCAGAACACTGACACAAGCTTCCCTAACCAGGAAATGTTGACAACCCACTCATCTAACCCCACCCACAGGGAGGAACCTCCACAATAAAGAGGAATCACAAACTGCCAGAATACAGAAAGACCACCCCAAACACAGCAATCTAAACAAGAGGAAAAGGCAGAGACATACTCAGCAGGTAAAGGAACATGATAAATGCCCACCAAACCAAACAAAAAAGGAGGAGATAGGGAGACTACCTGAAAAAGAATTCAGAATAATGATGGTAAAATAGACCCAAAATCTGGAAAACAAAATGGAGTTACAAATAAATAGCCTGGAGACAAGGATGAGAAGAGGCAAGAAATGTTTAATAAGGACCTAGGAGAAATAAAAAAGAGTCAATCAATAATGAATAATGCAATAAATGAGATAGAAAACATTCTGGAGGGAACAAAGAGTAGAATAACTGAGGCAGAAGATACGATAAGTGAGGTAGAAGATAGAATGGTGGAAATAAATGAAGCAGAGAGGAAAAAAGAAAAAAGAATTTTAAAAAATTAGCATAGCCTCCGAGATCTCTGGGACAATGTCAAAAGCCCCAACATTTGAATCATAGGAGTCCCAGAAGAAAAAGACAAAAAGAAAGGCCATGAGAAAATACTTGAGGAGATACTAGTTGAAAACTTCCCTAAAATGGGGAAGGAAATAGTTGCCCAAGTCCAAGAGACCCAGAGAGTCCCAAACAGGATTAACCCAAGGTGAAACACCCCAGGACACATAAATCAAATTAACAATGATCAAATACAAGGAACAAATATTAAAAGCAGCAAGGGAAAGACAGAAAATAACACACAAGGGGATTCCCATAATGATAACAGCTGATCTTTCAATAGAAACTCTTCAAGTCAGAAGGGATGGCAGGACATACTTAAAGTGATGGAAGAGAAAAACCTACAACCCAGACTACTGTATCCAGCAAGGATTTCATTCAAATATGAATAAGAAATCAAAAGCTTTACAAACAAGCAAAAACTGAGAGAATTTAGCACCACCAAACCAGCTATTCAACAAATGCTAAAGAATCTTCTCTAGACAGGAAAGAGAGAAAAGGTATATAAACTCAAACCCCAAACAACAAAGCAAATGGCAACGGGATCATACTTATCAATAATTACCTTAAATGTAAATGGGTTGAATGCCCCAACCAAAAGACAAAGACTGGCTGAATGGATACAAAAACAAGACCCCTATATACACTATCTATAAGAGACCCACCTCAAAACAAGGGACACATACAGACTGAAAGTGAAGGGCTGGAAAAAGATATTTCACACAAGTGTAAACCAAAAGAAAGCAAGAGTAGCAATACTCATATCAGATAAAATAGACTTTGAAATAAAGGCTGTGAAAAGAGACAAAGAAGGACACTACATAATGATCAAAGGATCAATCCAAGAAGAAGTTATAACAATTATAAATATATATGCACCCAACATTGGAGCACTGCAATATGTAAGGCAAATGCTAACAAGTATGAAAGGAGAAATTAGCAATTACACAATAATAGTGGGAGACTTTAAAACCCCACTCACTCCTATGGATAGATCAACAAAACAGAAAATCAGCAAGGAAACACAAACTTCAAATGATACAATGGATCAGTTAGACCTAATTGCTGTCTGTAGGACATTTCACCCCAAAATAATGAATTTCACCCTTTCTCAATTGCATACTGAAACTTCTCCAGGACACATCACATCCTGGGCCATAAATCTAGCCTTGGTAAATTCAAAAATTTGAAATTATTCCAAGCATTGTTTCTGATCACAATGAAGTAAGATTAGATGTCAACTACAGGGAGAAAAAAAAAACTATTAAAAATTCAACATAATAAGGCTAAACAACACGCTTCTGAATGACCAACAAATCACAGAGGAAATCAATAAAGAAATCAAAATATGCATAGAAACAAATGAAAATGAGAACACAACAACCCAAAACACTGTAAAAGCAGTGCGAAGGGGAAGGTTCATAGCAATACAGACTTACCTCAAGAAACAAGCAAAAAGTCAAATAAATAATCTAACTCTACACATAAAGTAACTAGAAAAGGAAGAAATGAAGGACCCCAGGGTTAGTAGAAGGAAAGAAATCATAAAAATTAGGGCAGAAATAAATGCAAAAGAAACAAAAGAGACCAACGCAAAAATCGACAAATCTAAAAGTTGGTTCTTTGAGAAGATAAATAAAATAGACAAACCATTAGCCAGACTCATCAAAAAACAAAGGGAGAAGAATCAAACTGACAAAATTAGAAATGAGAATGGAGAGATCACAACAGACAACACAGAAATACAAAGAATCATAAGAGACTACTATCAGCTAGTATATGCCAATAAAATGGACAACTTGGAATAAATGGAGAAATTCTTGGAAAAGGACAACTATCCAAAACTGAACCAGGAAGATATAGAAAATCTTAACAGATCCATCACAAGCACGGAAATCTAAACTCTAATAAGAAATCTTCCAGCAAACAAAAGCCCAGGACCAGAAGCCTTCACAGCTGAATTCTACTGAAAATTTAGAGAAAAGCTAACACCTATCCTACTAAAACTCTTCCAGAAAATTGCAGAGAAAAGTAAACTTCCAAACTCATTCTATGAGGCCACCATCACCCTAATACCAAAACCAGAAAAAGATGCCACAAAAAAAGAAAACTACAGGCCAATATCATTGATGAACATAGATGCAAAAATCCTTAACAAAATGCTAGCTAACAGAATCGAACAATGTATTAAAAAGGTGATACATCATACCAAGTGGGCTTTATCCCAGGGATGCAGGATTCTTTAA